ATTAATTTAGTAAAAATACCTATATTTGATGAAATCAAATCTTTGTCTTGAAAACATTCAGATAGATAACTTTTTGACCTTTCAAATTTTATTAAAGAAGGAATTATAATAGGTTGATGTAACGAATATTCATGAGGAAGGTCTACAAGAAATTTAAAAAGTAAATAAAGTAAATTTACTAATCCAATTCACAAAATACATAAATTTTTAGCAAACATACTTTTTAGACCCTCTATTCTTTCATATAATGCTCTATTCAAATCCTTTAAATAAAACATATCACCCACAGTAATAGATAATAAATAAATAGGTGATATTAGTTCAGATAATAGGGCTGATTGTAATCCTACAACATTCCATTGAGCAATTTTATCACTATATGATTAAAAAATTTTTAAAACTAATTCAATTAAATTTTTAAAAAATATAAATGATAGTAAATTGTTTATACCTGCAAGACATTGATAAAGTTGGTTCAGAATCAACTCTTCCTAAAAATAAAATCAATTTATATGATTACTAATAGAAATTTACTAATGGATAAAGATAATCGTAGTGCATAATTGTAGTACACTAACTAAAATATTCTTTTTAATATCTACTATACCAAATATCCTGTGGGATCTCTATTTAATTAAATTTGAATTGTTTTAGCTTCTGCGCTTCTCGTTATAAATATAGAGTATGTATTATCAGCAAGTACATTTTTACATAAACCTATGTAAAATTTTTATGTAAAGTTATGTAGAATTTTTATCAAATCTTATAAAAACTTTATAAAATTGGGTTTGTAAGTCTATATAAAAAATTTATATAACATTTATATAGCTTTGTAGAGCTATGTAAATTTTATAAAAATTGTACTTGCTGATGTCATGTACTCAAAAATTTTCTTTCTTATGACACAAATCTTAGCAGAATTATATAGCTGGTCTTTTAGTCAATGCACTACAATTATCTAATATAGTAAAGATTCAAACCTGGTTTTGTTCTCAAGACTCCAAAAGATTCATAATCAATTCTGCCTCGCCGGAATCCATCTTTCATTTTAAAAACTTTAACTTTGCTATTAGAATCATCAGAGATCTGATCTTCCCTCACAGTGTCACAATTTTGAGAATCAATATTGCTGCTATATGAATTAATATATAGTTCTGCTTCTTTTGGTGACTGATTTAAAGCTGTACTTGTTACTGATGCATCACCACCTACCAAAGAATTTTAAATATATGAAAAAGTTTTTTTTAAATCAAGAATGTTACAAGAATTGAAACTCACAGGGTGCCTGGCTTATGTACATATGAAAAGTAACATGATCTCTTAGTTTA